GCTAAAATATAGTTAATTAAAGTTACAGCAACATTGCGGAAATGTTTAATTTCTATTCTTGTTTTAAAATGTTTATGTTAACTTTTGGGTCTGTATAATTATATCAAATGTCACAAACGTAAAAATAAGTTATTTAAGTGCATCAAAAGGCGTAAGCCAGGACCGACCGTGTGAGGGCTTAATAGCCAGTCAAGGTCGTTAAACCCATCCATCATTATCGCAGACTGAAATTTATCTAATATTTTCTATTATAAATCTATGTTCATTTATTGCAAGAATTCTTTTACGTGTGGACAGCACGATAATTCCTTAACACAATCGTAACCACGGTTCAATTTTCGTTTGATATTTACTGCATTTCCACAATTAACGCACGTTTTGCACCAGTGACAAGTATTACAATTTACACAGTTTGAAAAGTTCATTGAGCTGTTACTTTATTTACAACTTTTAGCAAGACTAAACTGTTTACTAAATGAATTCAACAAATGTCAACATTATCTATATAAATTTTATTATTTAACAAAAAAATGTTTTTAATTACACTCTTTTAAATGTCGGTATAATTGTAAATGTTTTTTTTTACCGTAAATATAAGATGCATCGATTTAAATTATGTAATAACTATGAATAATTTCTGTTCCTTTTACGATGTTTTCAATATCTAAATAACGAGTACAATATAGGAAAACAGAAAAAGAAAAGGTAAATATACAGGAATACATTAATTCTACGTATATTATTATGACAAATTAAAACAGAAATTTAAGTGATCATTTCGCCTCACAAATTTGTTTCAATCTATTTATTTTCTATTGATTTTTAAAAAAAATATTTTTCACTTCTAGGCTCCTGCCAATGGTCGCAATTACGACCTTCTCATTCTCTTTCCCGTTTTTAGCTCACCTGGCCCGAAGGGCCAAGTGAGCTTTTCACATCACTTGGCGTCCGTCGTCCGTCGTCGTCGTTAACTTTTTACATTTTGATCTTCTTCTAGAGAACCACTGAATGTAATGAAACCAAACATGGCATGAATGTTCCTTATAAGTGCTGACCAAATGTTGTTACTTTGAAGCAGATCCATCATCCAAGATGGCCGCCAGCGGGGGACTTAGTTTAACATAGGACCCTACGGGAAATACATACAAATGTCTTCTTTTAGAGAACCACTGAATGGAATAAAACTAAACATGGAATGAATGTTCCTTATGAGGTGCTGACTAAGTGTTGTTACTTTGAAGCTGATCCTTCATCCACGATGGCCGCCAGCGGGGGGACTTCCTTTAACATAAGACCCTATGGGAAATACATACAAATGCTTCTTCTAGAGGTGCACTGAATGGAATGAAACTAAACATGGCATAAATGTTTCTTATGAGGTGCTGATGAAGTGTTGCTACTTTGTTGCCGATTTACTGTTCAAGATGGCCACCAGGATTTTTTATTAAATTACAGGGCCAATATTAAACCAAATTTGGCCTCACTCATTATTAGGGTATCTGTTATGATTTTAATCTATTTTTACATGATTTCCAAAACCAAGTAAAATCAGGTGAGCGATACAGGCTCTTGAGAGCCTCTAGTTAATTTTAAGTATTTGTAAGAGACCACTCGTTACTTACATGCCAAGAGTTTTCATATCAGTTAACAATCTTTGAAACAAATATGTGAGATAAAGAGCTAATGCATTTGGAAAAATTAAAATTATGTTATATATCTATTTATTTTATTTTCAACAGATTCGCAATTTTTTGCATTTTTTAAATCTTTCATCAATATTTCTTAGTTTTTTAGCTCACCTGGTCCGAAGGGCCAAGTGAGCTTTTCTCATCACTTGGCGTCCGTCGTCCGTCGTCGTCGTCGTCGTCGTCGTCGTCCGTCGTCGTTAGCTTTTTACAAAAATCTTCTCCTCTGAAACCACTGGGCCAAATTTAACCAAACGTGGCCACAATTATCATTAGGGTATCTAGTTTAAAAAATGTGTCCGATGATCCTGCCAACTAACCAAGATGGCCGCCATGGCTAAAAATAGTAAAATGTAGATTTTGGCTTATATCTCTGAAACCAAAGCATTTAGAGTAAATCTGACATGAAATAAAACTGATTATCAGGTCAAGATCTATCTGCCCTGAAATTTTCAGACAAATCTGACAACATGTTGTTGGGTTGCTGCCCCTGAATTGGTAATTTTAAGGAAATTTTGCAGTTTTTGGTTATTATCTTGAATATTATCATAGATAGAGATAAACTGTAAACAGCAATAATGTTCAGCAAAGTAAGATCTACAAATAAGTTGCATGACCAAAATTGTCAGTCGACCCCTTTAGGAGTTATTGCCCTTAATAGTCAATTTTTAACAATTTTTCGTAAATTTTTGTAATCTTTTACAAAAATCTTCTTCTCTGAAACTACTGAGACAAATTTAACCATACTTGGTCATAATCATTATTAGGGTATCTAGTTTAAAAAATTTGTCCGATGACCCTGCCTTCCAACCATCATGGCCGACTTGGTTAAAAATAGAACATAGGGGTAAAATGCAGTTTTTGGTATATATCTCTGAAACTAAAGCATTTAGAGCAAATCTGAAAGGTGGCAAAAATGTTCATCAGATTTAGATTTATCTGCCCTGAAATTTTCAGACAAATCCGACAACCCGTTGTTGGGTTGCTGCCCCTGAGTTAGTAATTTTACAAAAATTTTGCAGTTTTTTGTTATTATCTTAGATATCATTATAATATCTAATATCTAATACTATTAATTATGATTTTAACCTTAATTACATGATTTCCAAAGCATCAGTAAATACAGGTGAGCGACACAGGCTCTTGAGAGCCTCTTGTTTAATTTACCTATATGTATTGTTCATTCATTTGTTTTAATTGTGAAGCATGTGACTTTACTAAGTATTATATCTAAAATCGATAAAGGTTGAAACAAATAAACGATAGATACATGAGGTTGTTTTGCTTGAGTGATTTACCTATACAAAGATCGGGTCTCAACAATGTTAAAAATGAATTAATGCCAGATTGAAATAGTTTAATGGGGGCGTGGCCAATTAGTTTGACGCAGCTTAACCACATCTGAAACTAACTTGAATGACCGCAAGGGAATATATTTGACTGGCATTAAAATAATTTGATATGGATTGAAATGCATTGAAAATAATTTTTAATTTTTGTCAATCTTTATCTAATGTTCATTAATCTTTTTTAAATAGCGTTAATACCTTTTTGGCCGATCAAGCTCAATTCAGGTTACTAGTGATACATCAGCATTTTACTCATGTGTCATAGTGGTTGTCAATGAAGCAAGTACTAGAATAATAATACCCTTATTATAAGTTAATGAGACAGGCAATATATAATGTAAACCAGATATAACTTTATTAGGGCCCCGCCGAATGGCGGACGCCCTATAGTGATCAGTCTGTCTGTCCGTCTGTCCGTCTGTCTGTCCGTTTGTCCGTCCGTCCGTCCGTAACAAACTGTGTCCACTCTATATCTAGAGAACCGTTATGATTTCAAAGTTTATTCTTGATATGTATATTAACCAACACCAGAGGGTGTGTCATAATGTATGTACAAATTCCTAGGTCAAAGGTCAAGGTCAAAAACTTTGGTTTCAGTTGAGAACCCAATGTTCTATGGTAAAGATCGTGTCTGCTCTATATCTTGAGAACCGTTATGATTTCAAAGTTTATACTTTGCATGTATATTAACCAACACCAGAGGGTGTGTCATAATGTATGTACAACTTCCTAGGTCAAAGGTCAAGGTCAAAAACTTTGGTTTCAGTTGACAACCCCATGTCCTATGGTAAAGATCGTGTCCGCTCTCTAGCTTGAGAACCGTTATGATTTCAAAGTTTATACTTGACATGTACATGTATATTAATCAACACCAGAGGGTGTGTCATAATTTATGTACAACTTCCTAGGTCAAAGTTCAAGGTCAAAAACTTCGGTTTCAGTTGACAACTCCATGTCCTATGGTAAAGATTGTGTCCGCTCTATATCTTGAGAACCGTTATGATTTCAAAGGTTATACTTGACATGTATATAAACCAACACCAAAGGGTGTGTCATAATTTATGTATTATGTACAACTTCCTAGGTCAAAGGTCAAGGTTAAAAACTTTGGTTTCAGTTGACAACCCCATTTCCTATGGTAAAGATACAAATTTTTTAACGCACATTATTCACAGCGGGACTCACAGTGGTGGCTCCCATCTCAATGATATCTAGTTGTTTCAGTATGTTTGGTTTTAATGTATAAATTTACATACTACACTAATTAGGGCCCCGCCTAGTGACGGGTCGCCTTATAGTGATCAGTCTGTCCGTCCGTCCATAACAAATTGTGTCCGCTCTATATCATGTATATTTAGAGAACTGTTATAATTTCATACTTTCAATTGACATGTATATTAACCAACACGAGAGGATGTGTCATAATGTTTGTACAACTTCCTAGGTCAAAGTTCAAGGTCAAAAACTTAAGTTTCAGTTGACAACCCCATGTCCTATGGTAAAGATCGTGTCCACTCTATATCTTGAGAACCGTTATGATTTCAAAGTTTATACTTGACATGTATATTAACCAACACCAGAGGGTGTGTCATAATGTATGTACAACTTCCTAGGTCAAAGGTCAAGGTTAAAAACTTTGGTTTCAGTTGACAACTCCATGTCTTATGGTAAAGATACAAATTGTTTACCACACATTATTTCAGCGGGGCCCACAGAGATGGCTCCCATCTCAATGATGTCTAGTTTATTCATGTTCTTAAACAGTAAATCTAAAATATTGTTCATGTATCTCTTTATTATGTCACTTCATATTTGTTGTTGATTTAGGTTGACTGGTTTTATGCCAAGTATATGTAAATAAAACAATATTCTACATTGTATAGGTAAAGATAGTACAACAGTTGCCTATTATTTAAAGAAGATGTATATTTGTATGATTGATAAAAGAGTTTTGATTGTATTTCAGGGTGAGACTCCTTATGATCTGGTAACAATGAAAAGGAATGATTCTGAAGAGGAAAAAAGGGAGAAGAAAAAAGTGATGGACCTCCTAAAGGTAAATATTCTGTCTAAATTAAAAAGAGATATTTACAAATGTGTCACAGATTGTTAGAGACACAACAGACTTGGCACAAAGTAGTTACAGTAATAAAGTTGCCTTTAGTTGTCAATGTCACTGTAGTATTTGTTGTCAGTTAACAATGTTAATTGACAAATCCAAGCTTGTTGCCTAATACATGTATAGATGTTGGCATATGTGAAAGGCAAATGTTTGAAATAAGTGTGCTCATCTGTTGAATCTCTTTTTAGCCCACTACCAACGAAGTCGAAGGGGACTTTAGGTTTGCACTCTGTCTGTCTGTCTGTCTGTCCGTCAATCCGGCAAAACACTTTTTTTCTTCGTGCTAGAAGACATTGATTTGATATTTGATGTATTGTTTTATCATGATAAGTTACAGATCAAGTTCGAATTTTGTTCCGGTCTGATGATTTTGTGCAGAGTTATGGTCCTTGGACTTAGAAAAATCACTTAAATAATCAGTTTTCCACACTTTTTTCGACATGCTTTAAGATATTGACTTGATATTTGTTATATAGTTTACACCATGACAAGTTATAGATCAAGTTAGCATTTTGTTCCAGTACAATGCATTTTTAATTGTAAGGGGAATATGTATTGCATGCAATACTCTCAGAATTTTTTTTTTTTTTTTTTGGTCATCAGCTTGCTGTCTCCTTGGTATATACATCTCATCATCTCCTTTTATCTATACTTAATACTTATCTCTGTGTGGAAAAGTTGATTTACATGTTTATGTAAATAGAATAAGAATAAGAATATTTTATTTTCCAATTAAAGGGCCCTATAACATGCATATATGTATAAAGAGCTTTTAACACATTACATACAGATGCATAAGATAAGACATATATTGAAAAACATGAAAGACAACAACACAGTTTTACAATAATTATACCCCGCGCAATTTTTGTGTGGGGTATAATGTTTTTGACCCGTCTGTCTGTCTGTCTGTCTGTCCGTCAGTCCTGTTCTTGTCATCGCAACTCCTCTGAAACCACACAACAGAATTTCATGAAACTTTAAAGATAATAAGGACATACTATGTAGATATGCATATCGACAGGAAATTATGATTCAGTTTTTAGCTCACCTTTCGAAAGGAAATGTGAGCTTTTGCCATCATTTGGCGTCCATCCTCGTCCATCCAGTGTAAACTATTTCAAACATCTTCTCCTCTGAAACTATTAAACCAATTCCAACCAAACTTAAGCTGAATGATCCTTAGGGTATCTAGAACTAAAGCAAAGCTGACATGGAGTAAAAATGTTCATTGGGTCACGTTCTATCAGCCCTGAAATTTTCAGATGAATCTAACAACCCATTGTTGGGTTGCTGCCACTAAATTGGTAATTTTAAGGAAATTTTGCAGTTTTTGGTTATTATCTTGAATATTATTATAGATAAAGATAAACTGAAAACAGCAAAAATGTTCAGCAAAGTAAGATCTACACATAAGTTTTATGACCAAAATTGTTAATTGACCCCTTTAAGAGTTTTTGCTCTTTAAGGACAATTTTACACAATTTGTTTATCATATTTTCTAACTTTAATAAATCTTCTCTGATGAAACTGCTGAACCAAATTAAACCAAACTTAAGCTGAATGATTCTTAGGTTATCTAGAATAAAGTTTGTGTTTTATTTTTTGTTTCCTCAGAAAACATGGCCGCCATGTCTAAAAAAAGAACATAGGGTAAAATGCAGTTTTTGACTTGTATCTCAAAAACTAAAGTATTTAGAGCAAATCGAAATTAAACTATTAATTAGGTCAAGGTCTACCTGCCCTGAAATTATCAGCCAAATCAGGTATCTGATTTTTAGGTTATTGCCCCTGAATTGATGATTTTAAGGAAATTTTGCAGTTTTCGATTATTATCTTGAATATTAATATAGATAAAGATAAACTGTAAACAGCAAAAATGTTCAGCAAAGTAAGATCTACAAATAAGTTTTTATATGACCAAAATTGTCAATTGACCCCTTAAGGAGTTATTGCCCTTTAAAGACAATTTTTCACAATTTGTTCATCTTGTTTGCATACTTTAAAAAATCTTCTCCTTTGAAACTGATGGATTAATTTCAGCCAAACTTGGGCTGAATGAGTTTCAGAGTATCTAGTATACATTTTGTATTTTATTTCCTTGTACGTCAAGAAACATAGCCACTATGGCTAAAATGGAACATAGGGGTAAAATGCATTTTTTTGCTTTTAAAGAAAATATGACAGATACAAAGAACATTTTAATGACATTTTTAACCACTAATTAATATATATTGAAAAGCTAAAATAGTCCTTGATGAAAGATTTAAGCCAAAAAATTACAGGTGAGCGATTCAGGCTCTTGAGAGCTTCTTGTTTTTCTAGGAGTTATGCCCCTTTGCACTTATTGGCCTCAATATACTACTGCAACAGTTTGCCATCGCAACTCCTCTGAAACTACACAACAGAATTTCATGAAATTTTGTAGATAATAAGGACATACACTATAGATGTGCATATCGACAGGTACATTTGTAATTATGATTCAATTTTTTTTCTAGGAATTATGCCCCTTTGAAATTATTGGCCTCAATATACTAGTCCGTCAGTCCTGTTTTTGTCATCACAACTCCTCTGAAACCACACAACAGAATTTCGTGAAACTTTGTAGATAATAAGGACATATTATGTAGCCGTGCATATTGACAGGAAATTGTGATTCAATTCTTTTTCTAGGAGTAATGCTCATTTGCACTTATATTTCTATTGGCCTCAATATACTACTGCAACAGTTTGTCATTGCAACTTCTCTGAAACTACACAACAGAATTTCATGAAACTTTGTAGATAATAAGGACATACTATGTAGATGTGCATATCGACAGGAAATTATGATTCAATTTTTTTTCTAGGAGTTATGCCCCTTTGAACTTATTGGCCTCAATATATATACTACAGTCCGTCAGTCCTGTTCTTGTCATCGCAATTCCTCTGAAACCACACAACAGAATTTCCTGAAACTTTGTAGATAATAAGGACATACTATGTAGACGTACATATCGACAGGAAATTATGATTCAATTTTTTTTCTAGGAGTTATGCTCCTTTGCACTTATTGGCCTCAATATACTACTGCAACAGTTTGTCATCGCATCTCCTCTGAAACAGCCCAACAGAAATTCCTGAAAGTTTGTAGATGAAAAGGACATACTATGTAGACGTGCATATCGACAGGAAATTATGATTTTGTTTTTTTCTAGGAGTTATGCCCCTTTGAACTAAAAAATTTTGGCCTTAATATACTACTGCATCAGTTTGTCATCGCAACTCCTCTGAAACAGCCCAACAGAATTTCCTGAAACTTTGTAGATGATAAGGACATAATATGTTGATGTGCATTTCCACAACGAATCATTATCAGTTGACTTTTCTAGGAGTTCTGCCCATTTGAACTCAAAGTTTCGGCTAAGATATACTTTTGCAACAGTTTGTCATCTCAACTTATCTGAAACCACACAAGAGAATTTCCTGAATATTTGTAGATAATAAGGACATAATATGTAGATGTGCATATCCACAAGAAATTATTATCAGTTGACTTATGGAGGAGTTATGAGTCTTTGAAATTTTCAGACAAACCAGACAACCCGTTGTTGGGTTGCTGCCCCTGAATTTGGTAATTTTAAGGAAATTTTGCAGTTTTTGGTAATTTTAAGGAAATTTTGCAGTTTTTGGTAATTATCTTGAATATTATTATAGATATAGATAGAGAGATTGTCAATTGACCCCTGAAGGAGTTATTGTCCTTTATAGTCAACTTTTAACAATTTTTCGTAAATTTTTGTAATCCTTATTGAAGTAATTGCCCTTTAATGACGATTTTTACCATTTTTTTTGCGTTTTGCCTTATATGATAAAAATTATAATAGATAGATAGAAATTTAAATAATCAAAAATGAAAAGCAAGACAAGACCTACTAACAAGTCAAATTTTGCTGATATAATTAGTAGAGTGTTACTCTTTATAGGAGTTATTGCCCTTAATTTTGGATTTATTTTTACCCTCTCTTTTGTTTGGAGCAAAAGTTAAATAAGATAGAGAGAAACTAAACAGACTTCAATGATCAGCAATATAAGATAAAAAAACCAAGATTTTTGTCATTAATTCTATTCTCGTCTTCAATGTTCGGAAGTGTCCTTTGTTGAATATGCATATAGACCACGGTGAGCGACACAGGCTCTTTAGAGCCTCTAGTTCTTACATGCAGCTGAGTTAAATGAAAACATACCCCAGACTTCACATCCATAGGTTAAAATTTGCTTAACAGTATGGTCATATAAATGAAGTAAAGTTGAAACACTAGGGTTTGAAGATGACATACATTGTAATTTAAAACATGCTTTCATAGACTTTTTGTACAGTTCATCTTTACATTCAAAAAAATTCCCACTGGGTATAAATGTGATGCCCAAATATTTATAATTATACGTACAACCAATAGCTTTTTCACCTTGATAAAAAGGGAGATTAAAATGTCTCCCTGCTTTATTAAAGACTTAAGTCTTGTTCTCATTTACATTGAACCACCATTTATAACAGTAATTATTAAGCATAGTTAACCTATCTTGCAGTCCCTCTGATGAATCTGAGAGAATTACAATGTCATCAGCATACATTAAGCAATAAACCCTTTGGTTATTAACACTGACATGGTTAGCACAAGAAGAGAAAACATCAGGGAGATCATTAATAAAAAGTTTGAATAAGTTGGGGCTTAAAACATCCGCTTGTCTCACTCCAATAAATGATCTAAACAATATTATACATATCTTTAACTATAGCATAAAACCTGTAAAACTGTCCTGCTTTGTTGTGTTGAAGTAGTTTATATTGTATACCTGTATGAATAACAGAGTCGAATGCTTTTCTGAGATCTACAAAGCATGCAAATAGTTACCTATTTTTGACCCCAGTTCATGCTTTTGCGGGGGAC